ATCTTTCCTGTATTACTTCCAATATGGAGACCAGTACTGCACACATTACTCCCGACTGTGGTCTCAAGAAAGCCGTGTGCAATTGTAACAAATTTCTTTTTCATCTTCTAAACCATCTCCACCTCCTCCAGCCACACCCCAACCCCCTTCTTGCAATAATAGCATGTATTTGCCTTGCTAATTGCTTTCTGTAACTCTGTTGTCCTCATAAATACACACACTCTGAACATCAGTATTTAGGAGTTTCACACCTTTTCTAAAAAAAAATGCTTTTCTACTGTTATGACCAAAGTGAATAACCTATCACTTCTTTGCATTATGCTTCATTTCCACTTCGTTTCCCAATCACTTAATCTGTCTGTACCTCTTTGGTAGGCTCTTGGTTGTCCTCACAGTTGAACTCCAATTTGTTTTGTTTCATTGGCAAATTTACTATGTCTCTTTAACCCCGGCAATAATCCTTATAGCATTTAACTTGTCACAACCTGCCACTTTGGAAAGTGCCCTTTATCCCCCACTGACTGTTATCTGTTCATTTACTAGTCCTCAATCCGAATGCTAATATATTACTCCCACTTCCATGAGCTCTTGCTTAATAATCTTTTTATGCACTATTCAAATGCTTTTGGAAATCTAAACAGATTACATCAGCTAGCTCCTCTTTATAAACACTGTTCATTATAGCTTCAAAAATCTAGTAAATTTCTGAAGCGATATTGATTTATTTTTCAGGAAACCTCTGTTGGCTCTTTCTTACCATACAATGATTTTCTAAGTGAATTGACTTTGATTTTGGTTAGGTATAAGATTTGTTTTTCTGGACTCGACTCATGTGACTTTTAAACTTGATATAGAATTCAAATACATTATGACTACTTAATTGTTCCTTTTACAATAAGATTAGCAATTAATGCTGCCTCATGACATTAATGCTGTGTTCTCATGTCTGGAATTAAGTACTTTTTTTGAACCACGGTTATAGTACGGTCTGGAACTAAGTCGTTCTGATGAAATTCAAACTGTGTCTCAGTGAACAGGTTGTTGGTGATAAATGGTGCTTGATAACACTTTATCAATAATTAAAGTAGGCTGATAGGTCATTTGTTGGCTGGATTAGGTTTGTTCTGATGTTTGCAAATGATATAGCAGGCCAATTTTCCACATTGTAGAGCATAATAACTTTTGCTCCTTACAACTGAAGCCTAGCAAGAGGAAAATGACCATGAAAGCTGTGGATTACCAACTTATCAGTATCTGCAGCAGAGTGCTTCTAATTATTCTCTTTGGAATATGGGGGCGATTCTACATGCAAGGCCCCTTTTAAATTTTGTTGTGTGCCTATGCAGATATAACTTGCAAAGCTGACTTTTGCTTCACCCGCATTGGATCTTTGGAGCCGCTGCATGCTGACAAAATTTGGAGGGAACACTGTCTCAGTGGTTGTGGTTATTGGAGTTCCATCTTTTCTGCCCTAGTAAATTGTTGCAGGAGTTCCTTGGGTAGATATTTTCTTATCAACCTGTTCAGAGATGTTATTACACACCCCTGGAACAAGTGAGATTTGAACCCAGGCCTCCTAGCACAGAGGCAGGGATACTACCACTGAGTCACAGGAACCAGTTCCTCAGGGCAGTGTCCTAGAACCAACCATTTTCAGCTGCTTCATCAATGACGTTCCCTCTATAATAAGGTCAGAATAGGGCAGTTTTGTGTTCATGGATAATGCTGGTCTGAAGTCAAATGGCTTTGGGATCCAAAGTAAGACTGTTCTCAGGCTATATTATGGGTATGAACAGCAGTATGATATGACCACTTGTTATTGCTTAAATTTTAGTCTACTGTAAATAATTATCTGATAATGAAGGATGGGAGTGAGGTTGACTTTTTCAGTGCATATGTTACCAGGTAACTAAAAATTGGAAATACTCATTAAACTTCTGCGTATGTGTAAACGGTGCTGTTTTTGGTACATTCGATGGAATGTTGGGGGAGTTTATCCAGGGCATTAAATTGTTTGTTAATATGTTCTGGTTTTGTTTGATTTCCAACACTGTTTTTTTTGTGTTTTTTTTGTTCTTCTGCAAGCTAATGTCCAAATGCAAACTTGTATAAAAGGGCTTACACTGTGTTTAAATTTGAGACGATAGGCCCTGGCTACAAGCTTGGCTTCAAATATTTGAGCATGTAATATTGCTTGGAGTTACAGCACAGTTAAGAGTGAATGCGGAACTGTTGTAGAGATAGTGTCTGATTTTGCTTTTATGACTTGCTGAGTCTAAATCAGGAATATTTTGCCTTGAATGGGTGATCCTTATTTGGGGGGCTGGTGTGGGATGCACTCTGGCCTGTTTACCCGGATTCAGATAGCATTTTTTTTTTGAATATCAATTAGGCCTCTGTTCTATGGCACTTAAACTCAGTTTTTTTTCTTTTCTTAAACATTGGTCCCTCAAGCCCTTCTCCCTTTCATCCCCATTTACCACCTTTTGGTCGTCATTGTCAACTCATACCATACCACTCCATGGCCCTAAAATCCCACTATGTCAACTTGGTGTTACTTCTGCCCACATCCTCCACCCTGTGCCCTTGTATGCTCTGTACCAACTCACCTAGCATCTAATATGAGCAGATCCAAGGAACCATTTTGGGATTAAATAAAGTTCTACATATCTATTACAGACTTTGTCTTTTGTTTTAAAGAAGCACTCTCATGAAAGCCCATTTAGTACATCTAAATCCATTCAGCACTAGTGGGCAGCTGGTGGCTTTGTGTGGATATTACTGGGCTTGCAATCCGAATCCTCAAGCTAATGTCCTGGGATATGGTTTGAAACTCATGGTGATACAAAATCTGGATATGAAATACTGGTTGAATTGCAACTTTGTATCTACTGTCAATTATGGTAAAAACCATCCAGATCACCAATATTCTTTAGGGAAACAAGTCTGCCTTCCTTACCTGGTCTGGTCAACTTGTGACTCCAGATCATATAGCTGTTGACTTTGAACTACCTTCTGGGCAGTTATGGAAGGGCAGTACATGATGGCCTAGGCAGTGATACACGTGGGAACAATGTTTTAAAAGTCAAATATCGGTGTTCAGATACAACTTATCAGTTTGATTGACAGCTCGAAGAAGTTATTAAAGAAGATTAGCTATTTATTTGGGATTATGAATACAGATGTTTGATTTTTAATCAGGAATTAAGTTTTTTTTAAATTTTTCATGGATATGTCACTGTCCAAATAGGGTGTTATGGGTGGGGATTCATTATGAAAATGTGAAAAGTCAAGTGAATAATACAGTAAAGTTTGACCTTGCGATATGTCACTAAACAGCAATTGGAATTGCTAGCAAACATCATTTTCAACTCTGGTGCAGACAGATAGTTATTCTTTTAATTTTTAGAAGTCTGGCTATTTGAATAACTTAACAGCATGGCAGTTGTACATACCTTTATCTGTTCTTGAATATATTTATATCCTGTGTAAAAGTTCATAATTCTCACATGTTGGACATCAGTGAGAATGGGGCTTGTTTGAACTGATTGGTGAGTTTCAGTGGTCCCACGAAGTTTGGATTTTCGACATGTTGGGATCACTTCATTGCATCCTTTTCTTTCTGTGTGTCTCTGCTTCCCTGTCTGTCTGCGTGTGTCTCGCTCTATCTCTCTCTTCTGTCTCCTCTTTTTTTCCCCCACCCCATGAAACTGTGACCATGGTTACAGAACTTAAAAGGTCATGAAAGGTTTGCAAACTTTTTCTTGTTCTTTCTAATTTGGAAACTTGCCAGTCCCATTAGAATGTGTATACTTACATTAAGTGAACTTAAAGGAACTAAATTGGGTGTGGTTGTGGAGGGACTTGAATTTCTGAATGGGGCGTTCCAGATATTACTGTTGTTGCTTTGGATTTTTGTAAATAACATAAATTCAAGGACTTAACACAAATTACTTTTCTTGATAAAAGCAAATTATGAGGAAATGGTGGAATTAAATTACAGAACACGTGGACAAAATTTGTAAATGGGCAGAACAATGCAAGAAAGAAACAACATAAAGAGCAACTTGAACATTCCATAAATGGTGTCGAATTGCAAAATAAGTAGTTGAAAGAAACCTTGAAGTCTTGTTAGACTTGATGCTAAGCATGTCCAACCAACCATGCCAATAGAATTTGATACATAAGCAAAACAGTAGCACTTTAGTCAGGAAAGTGTGATTTAACTGTAGAGACTGGTTAGATTACACCTTTTTATAAACTGCAGCATTCTATTTCAAGAATAATGAACCAAACAACGAATTTTTACAGTTGTTCTATTTGCTTTTGTGCATTTGTTAACTGGACTGTTAGTCAAGTCTGAGTATCATTACTACAAAAATAAAACTGAAAATAATAAGCTGTAAGCATGAGAAAGCAGATTGTTTTAAAAAGCATTGATTAGATTGGAAATTGGTGTCATCTCTGTATATTTTACAGGCACAACAGCAGAATATGTAGAAAATACTGAAAGTAGCATCATGTTTTGTTTGTGCAACTCTGCATTTTCAAGGAGTAGAGGGTGGTTTGCGTGTGGAATGAGCTTTCTGAGGAAGTGGTGGATGTGGGTACACTTACAAATCTAAAAGACACTTCGATAAGTACATGAATAGCAAAGGCTTGGAGAGATATGGGCTAGGAGCAGGCAGGTGGGACTAGTCTAGTTTGGGATTATGTTTGGCATGGACTAGTTGGACTGAAGGGTCTGTTCCTGTGCTGTGTAACTCTGAGACTTTACAACATTTTTTTTGCTTCAAAATTCAACAAGAGAACTTCAGTTTAGTTGCTTTTCATTGTGCTTTTTTTTAATTGATTTTTTTATTAGGGATATTTTACACTACATTAGAAACATTTGTGACTTGATTTACTATATTGTAAAGTTTATTTTCCCATTTACAGAATGTTTGACAAGTAGGTGCTGATGTTTAAAAAAATTAATCAATTGTCATCTTCTTATCCAGACAGAAATAGCCAAACGTCTGAATACGATTTGTGCGCAAGTGATTCCCTTTCTGTCTCAGGAAGTAAGTGAACTCATTGAATTGTTTAGTTGTTAATTTGCATTTCTGTTCAGTGTTCAGAAGCTACTCTGTTTTGGTAATGATTATTGTGAATATCTCGTTTACTGTTTTACGAGGAGTGTTTTTATGTGTAAGTTCTAATATAACATGATGAGTACTGTACTTCACATGCTAAATTGCAGGATGAAACCGACTTGCTAAATATCAGAACTTGTCATTGTGCGTTCATGTCTTTGTTTTAATTATATTTTCCTCATTTCACATTTTTTGGTTAATAAACGGTTTGCAAGGAAAAGGTATTATATATTTTCACTTTTTACATCCCTGTCAATGGTCCAAAAGGAACTGTTGTTAAGAACTGTTTCATAAATTAGATTGTAACAAAACTACCTCTACACACGTGTGCGCACATGCATGCACCTACACAACCTGTCATGCGCATGCAGACATGCATGTAAGTGCATGTATGTGATGTCAGGTGTATACTGACCAATTCCACCTTGATTCCTGGTCAATGCAGAATTAGCTGATCTCAACTAGGAGACTGATCCAGTGCTACAATAAACCTTCACAGTCTTAATCAATAATGGGTTGTTTGGAAGAGATGATGATGAGAGACAACCTAATATTTTTCACTCTTCCCTGTCCACTGACTCCTGCTAGTTATTTGTTGTTGTTGTTGAATGATGGTACAGCCTAGTTCAGTTAAACACTTTGCTGACGCTTATTGTTGAGGCTAACACAGGTAGAATGGGCACTTAACTGAGGTTTCTCTTGCTGCACCTGTCATACTGTACACTGGTGCATTAACGTGTGATGCTGTTTGACTTTGAATTTGGTTTCTTGTAAAATGTGTTTTGATATACACAGTTCCACTTTTGTCCAACACCAGCATAATAAATGAAACAAATTTCGTATATAATTCAGTTTTCTAAATGCAACAGGATTTATTTATGAAGACTAACAATTTAACACAAGAATCTTCTTTCTGTGAACAAGCATCAACAACAGGTGGCACAGGCTGTGGAGCGTGCAAAACAAGTGACCATGGCAGAGTTGAACAGCATCATCGGGGTACGTGGGCTTCCCAGTCTGCCTCTTACAGTGTGTATACCCATCTTATTCACTTACTTTTATTTGTGTATTGTGTGTTGGTGTTTTAGGGTAATATATGTAATGTACTTTAGAGTGACATTCCTTTAAATTCCTTATTCAGATTTTATATATAAAATAATGTTGTCTTTGATGCTAAGTGGAAATCTGTAATTAATCTTTGGCAATTGTATTTTCTAATGGGCTGTGAAATTTAGCCAGTCAATATGCTTCTTGATCAAGTCATTTTCTTGTGTCTTTACTGTGTCCTTGTGACTGAAATATTGTGATTCGAAAGTCAATTTTGCGCAATTTTTATGAAATAAGCCCTGTAAGTATTGGTGCTTTTGATTTTATTCCCCTTCCTTCTGTATCACATTAGTCACGAGAAGTGGATTTTGTAAATTTTGATATTTTCTAACTTGCTAAAACAACCCACTTTTATTTTAATTTGCTTCATGCGTGAGAGGATTTGGCAAATTCAAGTTACTCATTTATCAATTTATGCTAATTGCCTGTGTGAAGATGCCCTGCTGGTTTTTATAGTTCTCTGAGGCACTTTGTAATGATAATTAGACATGCCGTTGTAAGGATTAACACTGGCAAAGACCAATGACATCTTTAGACAAAGAGACTAGTTAATCCATCTGGACTCAAAATTACTTTCCGACTGGAGATTGAAAAATAAAAGCGGTGGATTAGTGCTGATAAATGAATTGCGTACTGCTTGAAAAGTTTTCTTTCATCATTTCTCAATTATAGATCTACAGTCAGATTGCCTCTGGTAAGCTATTGGCAGTCAATTAGGTGAAATAAACTGATGGGATGACCTTTATTTTATTTTTAATGATTCTGTTCTGAAACAATGTCAGTGACATTTAGGAGTACATTTTTCATGCTGTTTTACATGTACATGCCTTATTGAGGTTTCAGTAAGTTATAACCTTCGCACACATTCCTTTTAACTTCTAACCCTTTCTCCTCTCCCATGCTCTCGCCCCTTTTCTTTTATTTTCATCACCATCTCTACTCCCCATCCCCCTGCATCTCTCAATCTACTTTAGTCTTATCATATTATGCTGTACAACAATTGCTCCAAATTCTGTTTTATCCCCTCTGCAGATATAAACTCCACAATGAGAAATAATTTATATTTGTGTTCTCTGATTCTTCAGCAATATCATGCTTTTAAAGAAATGGACAGGGAATTTTGGATGAGCTGAAGTTTAGAGATGGAAGTAACATTCTTAGTATGGAAAGCTTATGAGCTTGGAAGCTCAAATCTGGATCTAACAAGACTTTGTTTGCAAACAGTGTGGACATGCTTGAGGTGTTAACTACGGAGAGGAAGTAGTTGGTAACCGGCTCATGAAGTTTTTTAATGGGGCCCAGAGATGCTGCCTTTTATCTTCCGAATACTTTGTAGGAGGTTACTGCTCATTTATGACTTGATGTCTGATAATCAAGTTGATAGCATTTGCACCATCTTGCTGGATTTTACTGTTACTGTGCACCGGCACAGCAGTGGGAAAATCTCACTAATGTTTCTATCCTGTTTTCATGGTATACAAAGCACTAAAGAAAGTGACGTTCTGTAAATCAATTTACCTTGTCGTTTTTAAAAGTTAAAAATGAACACAGTTAGATAAATTGGCAAGCCTTTATTTTTTGAAAATGGTACTTGTGCTCAGTCATAGTGTACTTGGTAATTTAACCATTTTTGTGTTGTGCCAAATTTGGAAAAGCCAATTCGTGCAAACCTTTGGGGATTTGGTCATAAGGTAGAAAACAGTGATATCACTTGCTAAATTCAAAGTCAATAACTTCCAAAAAATATTGTCCCTAACTAAGCAATAAAGCTTAATAAATTCTGTTCTATTCTGTTTTTGTGTTGTATCAAAAATTAAATGGCTACTTCCAGAATTATCCTGTGTGGTACAATTCAATTTGTGCTCTAACACATGAATCATTTTTGCTTAAGGAGGAACTGGTGCATCCTGACAAACCAGAACAGCATAAAATTGGGCTGACAAATCTCAGGACCTTTTGCTCTGTCATTGAACATGCAATGTGTCAACCCGTCTCCTAAGGGGAAACAGACAGCAGAAGTCTATCTATTTGTAATAGCAGCAGCTGCAGTGCAAATAAATGCTGCTCCATTTTATGGCAGCTGCCTGCATCACAAAGGGACATGACCTAGTGTAAAGGACAATAGGGATTATGCACTAAAAACCACTAATAATTATACCAAGAATAACTAACTGAAACAAAAGTCCTAGTAAAGTTCTTTTCTTGAAAGACCTAAGTGCTTTATAGATTAGCATAGAATCTATATTCCTAAATGGTGTTTTATTTTAGACTGATTTCATTTATCCCTTCTGGCAAAGTGTGCATTTTGTTGGCTGCTATTAATGATAATCACCTTGATTAGCGAAGCTCATGATGTGTCCATTTTCTTTCTTGCATTGTGCAGACAAATCCATAAAAATGTTAATAGAATTTAATTAGCATTACTATGTAAAATTAGGCAACCTGTTCTTCATGAAAGAAGATATCTCACAATTAGGTTTGAGTAGAGGATCAAAAGGTGTTGGATCATTTTCATCTGCGTTCCATCCAACCCCTTGCCCTATTTCCCTCACTTGTATTAGCATCCGCTGTCTGTATTATGATGAGATGCAGTAAACAGAGTTAACTTCTTGAAAGTGCATTCTGTAGAGTAATTAGTCAATTGGAGGATCTAGAAATAATCAGAATGAGGGAAAAGGATAAAGAGAAAGCTAAGTGGTTGTGGCGACATTTAAATGTTTAAAAGAAAATGAAATGTGGCTTTAAGTATCCTCCCAACAATGGGAATGTAGTCTGTGGGAAAGGGTAAAGCGAAAGAAAGGACAAAGGTAAATTGATGTTCTATTGATTATAGTTTTGACTTACTTTGTTGCAATGTAGGATGATGGAATAAATTTGAATTCTTTAATAGGGGTACTAACTATATAGACTGCTTGAAGTATGTTTAAGAGCATAGGGTAAAAAGAGGATAGATGATGTCTAATGGTGAGTCATTGTAACTGCTGTGAAGAGATTCACAACCTGTAAAATTTGGACAGCTCTGGCCTCAGAAGTAGAGATTTAGCAAATTCTGTTCTAATCATATTTCAAATTGTAATTTTTATGTTGAAAGAGAAAATAATTATTTCCATTTCTAAAATTAAAGTGGATAGAATGTTAATAGTTTGCAGATTTGACTTGCACAAGAAAGTATGTTCTTAAATGGAGTGTGTTCCCAATAGAGACGGTAGGGAGCCACCAGGAATTAGGCCTGTTGTGATCTATCTGCGCACGTGACATCAATCCATTAGTATAAATACTCTTGATCATATTTGAAATCTTCCAAAATAGCAAACTTTGGAGTAACTGATCTCGTTCAAATACAGCATGCAATGATTTTCTCCTATTTAATGTAAATGAATTTCTACAATCTCTTCGAGCAAAATATTTGACCTCAAGTAAGCATTGAGGTAATTTCAGGCTCATTCAAATCAAACATGCAATTGTTTTCCAGTATTCATTGCTGCTACTGTGTCTTTGTGTGATACCTGAAAGTAAATTATGTTGTGACTCTCAATTTGGATCAAATTGTTATATATTTTTTACATACCTGGAGCTATCATATTGACAGGTTTTTGGCAGCAATGTGATAAGAAGCCCTTTTTAGATTTTCTCCCTGGAAACATTCCCTGCAAGGTGCTTGTATCCCTCTGATACTGACTAAGTTATTTGCATTTATTTGCTGTGGATGTGAGCTTAAAAGCAACATTCCGTGCGTACGTACACCATGCTGTGCCCAGTGACATTGACCACAAATTCAGCCATTTCTAAATGCTCACTGTTAACACAAAGTACTTTGCAAAATTTTTGAGAAAGTGTAGGCTAAAACAAATCAGTGACTCAACATACTTCAGGAACCTCGCTGATATTTCTTTATGGCTGTTGGCTCACACACTAATGCAAAGAAACACAAATAGCTTGTTGACTCCTTTAGAGTGATTAGTAGGGACAGGTTTATTTTGTTTTTGTGAGTTGTATTCTTAAATATTGAGCTGTATATCCTATGGATTCTGCTGATGTCTAATTGATTCCTGTTCATCATTTTTTTCCCCTCCCTTGCCTCCTTTCCAGGCTCTCTGATTGCTTGATGATACAGCCTCAATCATATGATAATTTACAATAAAAAGAAAACTTTGATTAAGTGTGATGGTCAGGATCAGTTAATTCATCTCTGCTCACAGAGTACTGCAAACATGACTTCTAAATTTTCACTTAGACTGTGCTCCAAAAGAATTCAGCACTAAAACAGAAATGTTCGTTTTAAGATTCTTTGTATTGGGATAGTGCATTGACTAGGTTTTTAAATTAATTTTTGGGCAATTGGTAATACTGAAAAGATCTATGAATCTCTTGTTGCAATGAAGGCATGAAATGCTTACAAGGTCAGTGTTATATAAGGTAATGGTTTAGAAAAGGTTAATGTTGAAGACTGCATTAAGCCTTAATTAATCTGATGCCATTTGGCTTGGGTGGGGAAAAGCATCTCGCATCTCATGAGTAAAGACTTATGTTCACAGGTCTCATCATGATCTTGGTGACAATGTTTATCTGAATAATGTAAATTGTACTTGATTGTTATTACATAATAAATTACACCTTTGTTAATACAAGACCCTCTTTTTGTTAACATTCAGTCGGTGGCAGTGAACTATCCCGACCACGTGCTACCAGTGGTTGATATTGCAAAACAAAATATGACATGGTGATCAACAGTTGGCATCATTTGATTGATATGACATAATTACTAGCAGTGAGGATTGGAATTTGATTTAGCTATATAGAATGAATTACAACCAACCTAGAAGAAATTTAATTTCACAGCTTTAAGAACCATCCATAAAGCCAATCAAAGAAGCAGTTGAACAGTTAGACATCCTGCAGAGAAATTCCTGGAAATGTCAGTAAGGGAACAACAGCACTTAATAGTTATAAAGCCTTTTGCTTCTCATCCTGGTAAGAAGGGTAGAAGCGAGGGTGAGCAAGAAGCTAGTCGCACCTGTCAGTTACAGATCCATTAGGAGGTGAGAATTAGTAAGAGCAGTTCAGATTACAGGTTCAGTGACCCCATATTAGAGGTGAGCAAAGATAAAAATCCCTGTTGGGAAAAGGAGCATTTTCAGTCCTGGTGCAGAATAGCTGCTCTTCAACATTAATCTGGTGGAGCCACCAGCATTAGAGAAGATACTCAATGCACTATTCAGGGAAATAAATGATACAGCTGACTTGAGTTTGATGGAATCAGTTTATGAGAATGGACAGCTCATTACTTTTATGTTTGAGTGTCACTATCAGATTAGTAATCATTGGAAGAAACAGAAGTTACAACCTACAGAGCTGAAATAGGTTTCAAGATTAAATATATTCTACAAGCAACACTGCAACACAAAAGGCATAAGATTATAGAGCATATATATGCAATAGATCAGAAACTTTACATATATCTTGGCCTCAGTGTTTGCACCATCACTAAAGGAGATTGACTGGTTACAATGGGCAGTGAACAGGTCAAAAGTGACTTGCATCAATTTGTCGAAAGGTGTACCAATCAGACAACAGCTGGTCCAAAAACAAACTGTTGAACAACAGCTAGAAGATTTCGATACAATGTGGATCTGGAGAAACACAGCAGGTGTCCAAGCCTGAAACGTTGACTTTCCTGCTCTTCCAATGTCTGACGTGTTGTGCTTCTCCAACGCCACATTTTGTGTACTCTGACTTCCAGCATCTGCAATCCTTCTACTATCTCCTAGGCTAGAAGATTTCATTGGGTTGCCTGTACTGATGGCAGAGTCCAAACAAAAGACACAATCTTTGAGATTAGTTGGATGACATAAGAAATATGCTTCATATAATTGAGAAGAACCAATGACCAGTAAGCCAAAATAGGCTCAAGTAAATTTATTGAGAACAAAATCTGAAAGTTCGCTGCTATTTGCCAGTGTTGCGCTGAAGGATGGCCAGACCAAATGTTCAGTGAATTACTGAAGGACTTTGAGCACCGATAGCATTTCACAATTCTACATGACTGGTTATTCCTGTTGCACTTTTGGGAAAAATGTCCTGAAACGGATGCATCAAGGACATTTTAGGAATCACCAGTTGTACATACGGCTTCATCAGTGGGACGGTGTTCAGACATCTCAAAAGAGAGATTGAACATTGGAAAATGGTCTGGTCATCACTGTAGAAACCTGCATAGTTTGCAAGAAAATGCAGATGAGGAGAATCAGAATGATCAGTACAACTCACTTGAGTTTATTGATCAATCTTTAACTCAAATTCTTCACAAACAACACAGCTGGCAAAAAAAGGAGTATTAGCTGATTCAAGTTTGATGAAGAAGATCAAGCTACACTGGTTCAAGAAGAATATTTCAATTCTTTTTCCTTCCTTGGAAGAATTATCAGTACAAATGATGGAGCTGAGTTAGCAGCTATTCTAAAAGAGCATGACTGAGGAAATGAACATGTTACGTTCAACAGTAAAACCACCAAAAGGCAAATTAAGATGGTTAAGTGAATTACAAGTTGAAATGAAGAGTTTACATATTTCAATATAGTGAGTTCTGCAGGTTAGGAATAAAGATTTGCTTACACAGATGGAAGATGGGCTGCTTTCTACTCCCTGGGTGCCAACACTGGATTGGGATGATCAATGTTCACAGATTTAGGACATGGTTAGGAAGAAACTACCTGTTACTGCGCTAGAGGATTCTGTCAATAAAATTTGACTGGCTCAGAAATACAGGATACCACATAAAACAAAATAGTCGTTTCAACAGAACAGCAATCTTCCATGAAGAAAATTAATGAGATTAAAGGACCCGAGATGATGTAACAAGGAAGTGACCTGATCTTTCAGGGAAGAATTCTACAGAAAAATTAAGAGTCCTCCATGTAAGGTAAAGGATTGGCTACCTGTTTAAGCATAGGGTCAAGAACATAACCAGGGTCAACTGTTCTCATGTCGAAGAATTTTCTAAGTCCAAAGAGAATATTCTGAAAGAATTGCAAAATTTCCAGACTGCTTTACTTTGTGTAGTCAGATATTTGAGATAGTTGTAAGTGTAATTTATATACATGCGTGTATAAGTAGTGAGAATGGTGGACTGGACGGAGACAAAACTTGGGACAAGGGTGGAGGTGAAGTGGAGACGTCATAAAAGATAATGGTTCTGAAAGAGTTAATAGTGGAGACTATCAGGCTGCAAACAATCTAGTGATTCTGGCATGGAAAACATCTTGGTACCTCATTGAGTAAAGACCTATAACCACCTGTTTTCTCATGGTCTCAGCAGCAATCTTTATGTTACTAATATGACTTGCAGATGATTGTATATGCAATAAAGTACATAAGCTATATCTCTGTTTTAGATCGGATCATCTTCTTGTTAAGAATAAGTTGGCGGCAGCAAGCTACCCAAACACAAGTTGCCAGTGTTTAGTATCCCAGAAGCAAGAACTTCAGTCAGCAAGGCAGATTGTGTTTTATCAGTGACTCCTTCAGGAGTCAATTAAGCTTCTTAGACGGGACGTTCCAAACTCGCAACCTGCACTACTTAGAAGGACAAGGGCAGCAGATACATTGGAACACCTTCACTAACAAATTCTGCTCCAAGCCATAAATCGTCCTAACGTGGAACTGTATTGCTGTTCCTTCACTGTCCTGAATCAATATCCTCCTCCCTCCTTCCCTAATAGCACTATAATGGATGCACTTACACCAAATGGACCACACTGGTTCAAGAAGGTAGCTCACCTTCACCTTCACCTTCTCAAGTACAATTTGAGCTGGGCAATAATTGGTGACCTATTACTTTAAAAAATGGCTTTTACAATTCCATAGTTTCACCGCTATTTTCTTTAACCAGGCCACAATTTACTAGATATAAGGAATTGAGTTTCACATTTTGCAATACAGAAATTGGATTCAGAAACTTTGAGTTGCTGGTCGAGGAACCTAGTCACTTTACCAGATCTGTAGTACATTAGGTGGACAAAAAAAATCCCAAAAGAATTCAAAGCTCACTAAATGCAAAAATGAATATTTGTGCTTTTTTTTTTTCAAAAATTATTCCTTCCAACCACTCATCTAAGAAATAAATTTCATTAAACTTGCTCTCGAGTTGGCATCAGATATGGAAAATTTCCGTCTTGATATCTGACAACTCTAATGCCTGGAGTGTGAATCAAAACTGAGAATAAATTGTCATTTCTACCCATGCTTTGAATCGGTGTTGCAAAATTGCTTCCACAATACAAACATGAAAAGCATTTGAATAGTCTTTTTTGTTAATCTCCAACTAGTTGTTTACAGAAGACTGTTAGGAAATTCAAGTAGTCTAATTTTTGTGCTATTTGGAAATTCAAATAGAAACTTGCCAGCTCTCTTGAATATATGAAATCTGATTAGTGTAAACCGTTATTTAATTCCACAACCCTCAAAACCTGAATGCTGGTTGGACAGAATTAATCCTATTATCCACAATTCTATTGGGGAGACAAATCAGCCTGATGCATTTGCTGTTTGCAATGTAAAGTTCTATTCTCCTCCTTGAGTTCTAGTACTAAGGGGTTATCTGTCCACATTCTAGCTATTTTTACAAAGCCTGTTGTTAATTGCTGTCAGTTCAGCTTGCTGTACATGCATCACCGCTTTTATCAAAGAAATTGGACAGAACACTTGAGTAGTGAGCAATAGTGGTAATTGGTAAGAAGACAAAGTTGTTACTTGGGTTGCAGTGAAATTAGTTCTAATGGCAGATGTCCAGTTTTTAATTAAGTGCTAATAAGCTTGCCTGGTGGACCATAGTGCATATATTAAGACAAGCTTTGTTTATTTTCATTCCTGGCTTGCAACCTATCACTGAAGTTCTCAATTATTTTGGGCGTGAAGCAAATTATATTAACTTGCTTTAAGGAAACCTGTTACTGTAGAGTGGTGCTTGACGTTCCAATATAGCTTTTTTTGTTAATTAAATCATTTCGATATTGTCTTCTATTCAGCTATATTTTGGAAGTCATACACATGGCAATAAAATTCAAAGACTTTTGAAGAATCTTCACTGGCCTGTATTAATGGGCTGTGTTACTATG